ACTTACACCGATGTAGGATTTTTCGTTAGGAGATGAATCACTAGTGGTGGTTACAGTTGCTTGGTATACAATGTTGCTTGTTAAACATCTATTGGACAACGGGCAGAAATTTTTATCTAAGCAGTTACAGTTTTCTTGATTAGAGTTTATTATTCGAAAATCTAATCAAACTTATACATATGCTGATAAAACATCTAATCTTTACAAATTATCTAAAAATGATTACAACCACTTGTTAAGAAATGCCATCACTTCAAATTACAAATTATCTAACTCAAATATAATAAATAAAGTAAACATAGAAGGTAAACGTCTTTTGAAAAATCATGAAGTTTTCGATAAAATTGATATTAATACAGCTTCCAATTGTTTTATCACCTTAAAAGACCATAAAGATAATTTTGAAAACAATCCGACTGTCCGTTTATTGAATCCAGCTAAAAATGAGGTTGGTAGAATTAGCAAGGATATTCTTTCTAATATTAATACAGACCTAAGAAGTATATTACAATTAAACCAATGGAAAAACACTCGAAATGTTATCGATTGGTTTAAAGCCATAAAAGATAAACACCTTTGTAAATTTTTAATTTTTGATATCATTGACTTCTACCCTTCTATTTGTGAAACACTTCTAAAAAACTCTATCAAATTTGCAGAGCAACACTTAACACTAAATAAAGAAAATATATCGTTAATTTTTCATGCAAGAAAGTCTTTGCTTTTCAATAATAATCAGGTTTGGATAAAGCAATCAAGTGGTTTATTTGATGTTTTCATGGGAGCTTTTGACAGCGCGGAGGTTTGTGAGCTTGTAGGAATATTTCTTTTTTTTCGAATTTTCAAAATTTTATAACAAGTTTGAGGTTGGTTTATACCGTGACGATGGATTAGCAGTTTTTAGGAATAAAAGCGGCCCTCAAATGGAAAAAATAAAAAAGCATCTTTCCGAAATATTTAAATACAATGGCTTACGGATTTCTATACAATGCAACATGAAAATTGTCAACTACCTCGACGTCACTCTAAATCTTAGTGAGTGCACCTTTAAACCTTATCTCAAACCTGATAATACATTAAATTATATCCATGCTGATTCAAATCACCCTCCAAGTATACTAAAACAAATACCACACTCGGTTGAACTTAGATTATCTACAAATTCTTTTACCAAAGAAATATTTCAACAGGCTGTTCCTCTATATAATGAGGCTTTATTAAAGTCTGGTTTTAAATGTAATCTAACATATAATCCTAAAGCAATATCAACTAAAAAACGGAACAGAGCACGCAACATCATTTGGTTTAATCCTCCATTTAGCAAAAATGTTAGCACCAACGTGGGAAAATGTTTTTTGATATTAATTGGCAAACATTTTCCTAATAATAACAAACTACATAAAATCTTTAACACGAACACAGTCAAAGTTAGCTACAGTTGTATGCCAAGTGTGAAATCAGTCATAAATTCGCACAACAAATACATTTTATACAACGATACAAATTCTAATCAAGAAAACTGTAACTGCTTAGATAAAAATTTCTGCCCGTTGTCCAATAGATGTTTAACAAGCAACATTGTATACCAAGCAACTGTAACCACCACTAGTGATTCATCTCCTAACGAAAAATCCTACATCGGTGTAAGTGAGACTTCTTTTAAATTGAGATACGCTAACCACGTTAAATCTTTTAACATCCCAAAATACAAAAATGATACTGAGCTGTCAAAGCAGGTATGGAAAATAAAAGAAGCCAATTTAGTTCCTATAGTTAAGTGGAAAATTCTCAGGCGATGTAAAGCATATAATCCCACATCCAAATCTTGTAAATTATGTCTCACCGAAAAATATGAAATCCTAAATTATAAAAATACTAATCTACTAAATAAAAGGAGTGAGATTGTTTCTAAGTGCAGACATAGAAACAGATTCCTCTTTTCTCAATTTGACACTGGCGATTAGAAAAGATGTTTTTTCCATATTATTATTATTATTGTTGTTATTATTATTGCTATTATTATTATTATTATTACTATTAATATTATTATTATTATTATCATTATTATTATTGCTATTATTTGTATTATAATTATTTGACGTCAGAACTCATTCCATTGTTTTTTTTGAAATTTGTAACGGTTTTTTAATTGTATTTTTGAACGGTTTTTTCTTGATTTAAATATATGGCTGATGAATGCCGAAAACGGCATGAAACTTTAAGTACCGTAAAAAAGTTGTTTTTTCTCATCTAACCTTTTATATATATATATATATATATATATATATATATATATATATATATATATATATATATATATATATATATATATATATATATATATATATATATATATATATATATATATATATATATATACATACATACATACATACATACATACATACATACATACATACATACATACATACATACATATATATATATATATATATATATATATATATATATATATATATATATATATATATATATATAT